ATAAATTTTAAAAAATTGCACTTCCTCTTAATATTTTGAAACATGATTAGTTGAATTTGAAATGTGGAACTGAAGGGATATAGGGAAATGTCTTTATGCATATATGCGAAAGTATGTGTATATGTATGTATATAAAAGATTGCATTTAATATGGATCTGTCCTCAGGATCATGTTACCTGTACCCTTATTTAACAATCAGCAAGTTGTGACTGAGAGGATGGATTGCTACCCTTCTTATTCTAGAGTGTATGGCATCTAACACTGCTTCTCAGAGAAGTCCACTGATGATACTGCAATTGATTAAGCTATTATGTTCTCTATGGATTGCATGCATTTTCATAACTGCTGTAATGAAACTGCAAGAGCTTGCTGAAAATACACAGCTTTTATCCAATAGACGCTATGCACAAGCTTTGAATAATTCAGTAAGTCTTTCTTGGTTCCTGTCAATTGCAATACTCTCTTTATAGCTACCAAATTTGAATAAAATGAGGTCACTGATCATTGTCATGCACTTTGATGAAAGTAATTGCTGGATCATTTCTTTAGAAGTAATTGGACCATGACAATTCTCAATGACTGTTTAAAAAAATAATAACCCTTCACTTGTGGTTTGTGTTCTTACACACTGAAAAAAGAAACTATAAATTAATAAGTGCATTTTGTTGAAAATTAAAGACCTTGGATTATAAATCAGATAATAATTGTATTTTAAATAAATATATTCTTATACATACATATGTATGTATGCGAATGCATGTACACATATATCTAATGTAGTGTATATCTACACACACTATATATGTATATGCATACATATATGTGTATATACATATACATATATAGTGTCTGTCCTTGTGTGCAGTATATAGCAAAGGATAATACTGCCATTGAATGTCCAAGAACAAAGCAGATTTGCACACTGTGATTGGAGACCATTTTCTTTCTCAGTTTGTCAAATGCCCACAAGGAGGGAAGAGTTAAGCAAGTAGAACCAGAAGGCATAATGTTCTGGGGAGAGGACATAAGTTAAAAATAATCCTCAGATTTTATTTATACTGTGAGATAGATTTTTTTCAGAAATTGTGTTAGAGATATATTTTCTTAACTTGCACTGAAGTAGATATAAAGCTTCATTTTCTTTTGATCAACAGAGATAATGCAAATGTAATTAATGCATAAAAAAAACCTCAATTTTCATTTTCATTAAAGCCAGAAGTTATCTAAAACTCTATGTGATTGAAAGGAAATTAAAGAGAATGACCCTTACTGAGTCAATGTTTAAAAAGAAGGTCTAAGACTTCAGTACAGCCCACCATTTAGCTTTGGTAGAAATATTTTCTGAGGAATTGGTTAAAAGCAAGTGTCTTATTCACTATTCTATTGCTGTGAAAAGACACCATGACCACAGCAACTCTTATGAAAGAGAGTATTTAACTGGGGGCTTGCTTACAGTTTTAGAGGTTTAGTCCATTATCTTCATGGCAAGGAGCAGGGAGGCATGCAGGTAGGCACTAGAGCAGTAGAAGAGGGAGAGGGAGAGGGGGAGGGGGAGGGAGAGGGAGAGGGGGAG